GGGATCTAGACTAAGAGAAGATGGTACTGCCCCTCCCCTGGGATCTAGACTAAGAGAAGATGGTACTGCCCCTCCCCTGGGATCTAGACTAAGAGAAGATGGTACTGCCCCTCCCCTGGGATCTAGACTAAGAGAAGATGGTACTTCTCATTGAGAATTGTTGCTTTGTGTCACTGAATTAATGCTGTGTGCGTTGTGGAGAAAGCGCATCATTCGTCGCACTATATCTTTGATGTCTGGCGGCTTTGCGTTTATCGTTGGCATATTTCCTAGGAACACTGCTCAAGGAACAGGATCGATGGTTGGTCGAACTGGAGCCATCTCAGCACCATACGTCGCAATGCTGGTAATATCGTTTATCAGTTCAATCTGTAGAATGTTGCATAGTGACCATTGCCGATGATGTTGATGTGTTTTTTTTCGCAGGCCAGAATTCCTGGTGTAAGCGTGGCTGTTCCTGTTGTCATATTTGGTGTGATATCTTTGATCGCTGGTGTCGTTGCTCTAATAATCCCTGAGACATTATTCATTCCGATGCATCAAACAATCGAGGAAGCAGAGAATGCCGATGAGGATTATGGGATACCTAGATGTGGAAAACCAAGAAGAAACTCTAAACACGCGGCACAAGCCAACGCCCCTTTAGCGAACGATGACTTGGACATCAAACTGTGATCAGAGAAGTTGGCTTAGAAACTAATTCTTAAATGTAAACGAGTATATTTTTTTTATCCAGCGAACTACAGGCGACTACCAGAATTATTGTTCGGTTGTCTATTGATAAATGCTAATTACTACTTTACGGTCACATGTCGAGTTTATCAGACTGCTGGTCTGCACGCAGGTCGTTATTTCTATACCTTAGTCATATCTTGTATTGTTCTAGTAATGTTTATAGTACCCTGCACTGAGTAGTTATAAAATAAAATAATAAAATAAAGACTTAATTTCACGAGGGTAGCACGTAATAGCAATGCTAATCCCATGATCCTAATAAACTTGTTGCCCTCAGTTGATGAGCAAACATCGTGTTTACCATTTTGTTAAGGAATCAAAGAGGAAAAAAGATTGAAAAGAAAAGCTATATTTGACATTCGCATGATAAGGATTCACCACCTACTTAGTGAGCTCTTGTACTGATAACACCATTCATATCTAAACATCTGTTTTCTTGGAAACATCTGTATATTTCTATTGTGTAGACGGTGTTAATTTACATCTCAAATCGTCCTTTTTAAAGAAAGAAAGTATCAATATAGACGTAAAGCTGTGTTTTTTTTTACAATAATTCAATCTAATCTCTAACAATACAGGACCACCAAGATTCGTTGTGCGTGGTGTAAGCAGTCATTTGGTGTAGAATACTTAGTTCTCTTTGTACGTATCTTGTCGCCATAATACTGCAGCGCTTGGTGCTGGATCACAGCAGACGTCGACAGGTGGTTGTAATGTAAATAGGGTAGTTCTACTAATAGCTTCTCCACTTTCGTCAACCAGAAATTACTCGTGACGCATTTCGCGCTATTTCAGAGTAGTTTCACATACCAAAATAGCGACAATGTTTACTGTTTTCCTGGCAATAAATCCCATTTCAGTAAAGCTCATTTTCTTTTTAATTTTATTTTATTAAGATTTCGTATGATGATAAATATGTTAATTATTATCGGTATACAAGCGTCACTCGTATTTTATGGTCTTTTATCGATTGCCGCCACCTGCGGTCGACTAATTTAAGCCGTGTTTCTATACTCACCATAATTTGATGACAACTATGCTCTAATACGTGGTGTATAGTTCAGACAATCCATGGTTTTTGTGGTTTGTATGTACAACAGTTTTTCTTCTGTCGTAAAATGCAGCTTTCTTAAAAATTTTGCTGCACCAGTGCGGCACAGGTATCCTTGATTTATCACTGGCGTTTGTTTAACTTCGCTTACAATATTTCGATACCAAAAGACACAAACAGCAGACGATCTTCAACACGATTTATGCAAGATTACTTCTATGACAAGGTAAGAGTGAGAAATCTATTTGATGTTACAAGTTTTTAAAAATAATGTTTCTTGAATTCCTAAAAAGTGACTTTGCGCACAAGGAGAAAGTATTTTTGCGTGATTCATTACATCCTGTGAAAATAATATCATCCAAATCACGCTAACTTGAGGGTTTTGAAAAACATCGTTGTTTCGCTTAATCCAAAGAGAGTCTCTACTAAACTATGCATAAACCGGGAAACACAGACTGTCTTTGCTATCTTTGCGCCGTTTTTCGCATAACAGAAACCGTGATCGATGGTGGTGTATTGAATACATAATGTTTTATTGATAACGATAGCGCGAGGAAACTATGAAAAAATCGTGGCTCAACAAGGTCAGCGATCTCCAAAATGAACTTACTCCTTATGAATTTAAACTCAGACGGGAAAAAAAATCTTGAGAGAAAAGAGAATCAAAAAACCTTTTGTGTGTTTAGCTGCACTGCGTGACACTTTGGGCACGATTTGGTTTCGCCAGGAGTCCTTGGTTTCCCTGTAAGAATTGTCTTTTAAATCACAGGTAACTCTGTAGACTTTAGCACCTGAAAATAGTTTGAACCAAAAATAACATGTTTACCGGAAAGGGCAAAGACCCACAATATTGTGGACGCCGTTTTTTTTTTCCAGCGGTTCGTCGCGGCAATAAGATGTGGTTCTTTTTGTTGCATTCAAAATCGTGATATGAAATCAAGGGTGAAATAAAACTTCACATGGTCTTGACAATTAAACGAAGGATTAATTCTACGCATTATCAAAGAACGTGTATTAAAAACAGTGTAGCAAGAAGCTTAAAATCAATTTCAGTGTAAGGATAGTATTATTAGCTCGAGGCATCTTTTCTTTTCAATAACACTAATGCAACTGTTTAAATAGATTATTAAAATACGATTACTAGGAGTGGCTTTATCGCTCTGGGGACTATTTCGCTTCTAGTTAAGCCCTTTTTCACGCTATTGTCTCATCCTTGTAAATTTATATTGTTAAGTAGTTTTTTTAAAAATTGTTTTTATTGCTATCGGTTTTACATTGCAAATGGGTATTTCAGTAGCTATGGTAACATCTGTTAAACTCTCTTCTCTATCAAAAACCATGTGATGTATGGTTGCTGAGTGGATGGCTTCCTGTTCCATATGGCGTTTAATGATATCTAAAAACACCTTTATTTCTTGATGGCTTCACTATGACGTCATCATGATTCCAGCCAGTCTCATCTGAGATATGTTACGTAAGTGATGTAATCATTGGAATTATGTTAAATGAAAGATGTACCAAATAGTCATGTGTACAACGTTTCATGCCCGATCGAAACAAGTTTCGCATTTTTGAGCCACCATTAAAATCAAGTGCGTGGAAAACGATGATGTCAGAAGCGCATTGACAACTGAAAACCCGATTTGTAGAAGTGCTTCAATAAAAGATGATAGAGAACAAACATAAAACCATAAAACACATTAGTAATTGACGACTGAATCAAAGGAAATGGGCTATTTAGTAGCGTCTCTAAGGACCAGGAAATGCCGGGAGTTTAACATTGTTGAAATGTTAATTCCTCGGTTTTGCCCGTCGGGTATTTCACTGGGGTCGGTGGCCCATGATTTCAATCTACTGATGCATTAATGACTTATTAATTTTTAATCACCTATAGTACACATGTACAACATATATTTGATCAATTATGTTTTTAAATCCTGAAATCATAACTGAATTAAATATCAGCGTCTTATCAGTCGCTTTTACATTTAAAAGTCCATCTACTTTGCCGGCCATTAATTAGGAGGAGCCGACGGGTTCTTGGGAGAAATGGCTGTTTCCAGACAGCTGTACGTCACAACTGCTTGCCAGCGAGAAACTCAGGAAGAAAGAACTCTTCAGGCTATATACTTTCTAAACATTTTGAAAAAAATATAAGCCGTTTTTTGACCATAAAAACGTTATAAAAGCTGTTTTTGACCTTAAAAACGTTTTCCAGGAACAAAATTATTTTAAAGAAGGAAGGGCGCCACATTTGCTTGTGATATTGTCAACAATGTAGCTCTAAAAATCCCTTTCCCAGGAAAAGACTCCCGTCGGCTCTTCCTGATTAATAGTTATTCTGTAACCGAGCAGAAGTCAGGTGTGCTACATAAATGCCATTCTAATATTTCAATTTCACAAGTCAATCATATGTACGTAATTCAATTTTTCACCTCGATATGATAAGATATTAATGCATCTGAACGTTTCACATTTATATTTGAGAAAATTTTGAAACTCAATTTATAAAGCCTTTCTACTGTAGCACAGATATGTTTGATAACACTCGAGTTCTCAGTATTTGAAGTAATGATGTCGAAAAGAAAGGAAAACAAGAACCTAGTGCTTGATATAACCATAGTTAAAAGATACCTAGCGTTGCACCACCCCTCATTACAAATGTCTAATATCGGAGATCACTTAACGAAACAATGATGCGCTAGTCGTAAATGTCAAAAGGAACATCTCTATGAATAATCAGTTTTTTCTAATATACATATACGATCTATATCGACATCTACATTTCCTGTTAATCACATCGCGTTGAGATTGTAACTTGTTTGGCTCTTAGACATAACACAAGTATAGCAGCATGACAGCAGTACAGGACTGAGTGAGAAGACACAACCAGGTAAACCAACACTAAACGTTAGTTGTTTTACATTCTTTTGTGATCCAATCTGTCATCTTACATTGTAATGTTATTTCGCTGACTAAAGGTTCTTTTTTGTTATTCACTTGGCGTAATTAGCAGAAGGTCGAAACAAAGGCGGTTTCACTATCTCTGCCACCTGAGGGGGAAAATAGTTGTAGGATACATAAATGTGTTGTCTGGGTTCGAATAATACTTGATACTGGGCCAAGCTGTGTTCTTTGTACTAATTGAGCTATTTATAGACTAATTAGCATTTTGAAGTCTGCATTTTACAGTGACATGGAGCATGAGGCATGACTTAAAAACTCCTCTTTACATTTAAAAAGCAGTCAGATCAGTCCGAGAATTATTTAAAACTTTAGATGACTACCATTCTTAACTAAAATAAGGTTCAATTTGTTCTTGATATGTTATTTCGTAATGTAAAAACAAGTAAAAATCCGATGGTTTCTACGGAAAGTGATATGCTATGAAAACATTTATTTCCTTTCGCCACATGCTGATGGGATTGTTTGTTATTGTTAGAGATATCAGCAGAATTTTGACTGCTTATTCAGAGTATTTGTATTAACTGAGTGTAATAATCAGTCATTCTTGAAGGAATTCAGCCATAAACTATGAATTAATCATTAGCGCACTGTATAAACGGTCTTCTAATTCTGTCACTCTTGTCATTCCAAAGGGTGCATCCATCCAGGAATATGATTCAATCAACCTTCAACCTGACTCACAAAGCAAAGAATGACACTCCACTGCAGATCGTTGAACAACGATTTCATGCAACTTATACAGAACAATGCATAGGAATTACTTTTACCGTCTTGCTAATGGTTCTGACAATCATTATCAATCTTTTTGTTATTACAACCATCGTCAGACGAAAACCTGCTTTCAACAACTCGTACATTTTCATGATTAACCTTTGTGCCGCGAACTGTTCAGTTGGTGTATTCAGCATGCCGTGGTGGATCATGTTAGAACTTTACCCCTTCAAAGAGTTGATGGCAAGATTAGGGTATTTTATGAATTTCTTCACTTTTGTCGACATACTGTGTGGTGTCGCTTCAATACTGAACTTAACTGTAATCAGTGTTGTGAGATGGTTAACTGTAACAAACCCTCTAAACTGGATGGCAGTGCTTACGAGGAAAACATCTCTTTCAATTATTATATGTGTATGGTTGTACGGCATCGTTGTTGCTTCCATGAAGTTCGTACGCTGGCCCAAAATACACAGTAATTATATGGTTTATTTCTATTATGTGATTATCAATAAGCTTTTAATAATGATATAAAAACTGTAAATGTTGGTTATAGTTAAATAGCATGTGTAGTGTGCTGTTGCATAATCACTGGGGAGGTCCATAAAACACAAGCAAGTCACGCTTTCTATTATATCACGATATTCAAGCTTACGGCGTTGTTTATCTAGATGACTGTAATATTTCAGTGCCATACCTAATCAAACCAGTAAATTTTGAAATCGCAAACGTGACGATATTCTTCATTAACGCAGCTGACGCAGAAATTTCAAGTTTGAACCACAAAACCAAACCTAAAATTCATATTAAGACCCTAAAAATAGCGGTTGCAATCAAGACTGAGAAACTGAATTGAATAAAAACAAGTTGCACCTGTTTTGAGGAAACGAGTAGATAAAAATCGGGGCACAGTTTTGTATAGATTCGATATCGGATTTCGAACAGAATTATTTTCTTTTTTGTAACAACAGCGACTTTATTCAAGCAGTAGCCATCATTAATTATCTCTTCATGAAAAATTCATTCAAAGCTCACTGTCTCTAAATAAAATAAAAAACAAAGCTCGCAGTAAATAGACGATTTATTTTAAAAAGTGACTCGGATTTAATTATTTTTCTGAGAACTAAGTCATGTGTTGTCTCTCAGGTACAATTTTTGCAACTTTTGCCAAATTCTTTTCCGACACTAAAAGTGTTGCCAGCAACCTACTAGCTTTTGAGTTTTGCTAATAAAAAATATTCAATTGAATGGAAATTTAAAACTGCGTATTTTTAGTATAAAACTGCGTATTTTTAATAAATGAAACGTTTATAAATACATGGAATAACGTCGTCTTAAGGAGCACGAACTATTAGGCCCTCAGGTAAACGTGCGTGATCTAAGAACTTAGCTACAGCTGTAAGTGGTATTTTTATTATCAACAGAGCATGTTGTCACGAAACTTAGTGTCACTTCCACTTGTTTTGCGATGAAAACCTGATTATGTATTACATATATAGTTAGGAAGACTGCATCATTCCGTGAAACAGTTGGTATATCATTTTAGTTTTAGTTGTGAGTAAATTTAGCATTCGCCGATCGGGCATGACAACACGAAAGGCAGCTATGCATACCGTCAGAGTTAGTACTAACTCTAATGCCGTTTAATATAGTAACAATGTTCCACTTGAATGGTATAACCACTTCAATCTTACATGACCTGACAGTCAATATTTTCTGTTCAACATCATTTTATCAATTCAGATCAACAACAGCCAGTTTTATAGATATGATATAGCTGTTTTCTATCATGTGACCATAGTATCTATTAACTATGATGTGACCCAATGGTCCGGGGCTCATTGGGGTTGTGAATCATTTTCTAAAAAGTCTTTTGTCGAACGAAGTTCCGATCGAAAGAATCAATCAAAAGCAGTTGTTATTTTGAATTGTGAAAAGAGGATATGGTCAAATAGATAAACTATATAGTAATCACTATAGCTCATGTGTGCACCGGAAAAAATGACGCAATTTAAAGGTGTAAATTTAATGTAAATATGATGTATTTAAATTTACAACATCGAATTTACATCATTTTTGTCATTTACATCCTATTTCATCAAATTACATCACTTTGAACATTTACATCATATTTACATCAAATTTACATCCTTTAAAGTGCCGCGATTTTTTTCAGTGGTGTACTAATCATGGTTTAAGGAATCGACAATCACCGTTCTGACGACGTCCGATGACGGACCTATTCATCTTATATTGTGATATTTCATGATAACAGATATCTTTTGTTGTCTTTGTAGGTTATTCTTTATTTGTCTTCGTGCTTGGCTTCGTCATTCCATTTACAATACTCGGAATAGCATATGGACGAATGTTCTTCCTCGCCAAGTACTTACGAGAGCCATCGGAGAGAGCCTGGAAAACTAAATACACCAAAGAGTGCGAACAAGTGCAGATTTTGAGATCTCTTGAATGGAACACAAAGTTTCAGAGAAATTTTCGAGGAAGTAAAACCATTGCCATAGTAACGGGTACATTTCTATTGTCATGGCTACCATTTTTTGCCATTAGTCTGTGCTTTAGTCTCATTCCGGGTATTAATTACAGTCTGGCATTAGCAGCTAAATGGTTGGGATATACTAACGCTCCTCTAAGTCCTGTAGTGTATACTTTGCTTGATCAGCGTCTCAAGAGGGCGGTTATGAAGTCTGTTCGTTCAATGAAACATTGTATTTGTCAACCACTAACTGGCTATTTCTATAAAAAAACTCAACGGTAACAAAACATGAAGGAAATCTGCTGTCTGCAAGGTGATAAAACTGTAATCAGGTTGGATATCATAGATCGGCTATAATGATTACTGGTACAGCTCATGGTATAATATGTCACGTTGACTTCGTTACCAGAACTGCGGGAGCTGACTTTATTTCTTTATTCTTGTGCCAAACAAAAACCACATGGTTTCTTTTTTCAGTTGGAAACCATAGCAACAAGAAAACCAGCGCCGAAAGGGTTTCTTATCTCACAGGGAACAAAGACCAACATGAACAAGATGGTCCGTGTACTGACTTGTAAACTGATTGCATTATCCGTATTCTGTACCTCAAAATTATCCTTAGAAAACGATAGTTTTCGCAGTTCACATCATAGAACTACTTAGAAATAATATAAATCTATAGTTTTTTACTTACTGAATACAATCATCAGTCATTTAATATATAAAACAGCATAAATAGTAAATTAAAAAAAAACATTAAGGCTGACCATGAACCGAAGAGTTTTCAATGTTAGAACTAGATACGCTTTTCAATAATATACTATCTATACATTCGTCAGTGCTGCATGTACAGGAATCATACCATACGTAGAAGAGTCACAAATGATGGTATATCAACAATATAGGGAGGGAGGGAGGGATGGGGGGATTTATCCCCCCACAACCCTACTTGACAAAACCAAGTCAAATAAACTTTATCAGGACATATTCAAAATAAACTTTACGTATCGCTATACAGGCCGTCTTATTTATAGTTATTGCTGGGGTGGAGCCAGGTAAGGGGATGCTAGGGGGGCTGGTGCCCCCCTTTTGCGGGAAATATATATTCAATACGTCTTGCATAATTCAGACAGCAGACTAACAGAAAATTTAGAGATGTGCCCCTATTTCTGCGAATTGTGTAGTTGTAAGGAGCAGAGACATTTGGAAAAAACTGTTCTTGGAATTCTAGGGAAGGAAATTTAACTTGAAGTTATTTGTATTATAATGAGGGACATTAAAAGGGATTGAAAATCTCCCACGCCAAGTTCCTAAAAGCTCAGTGAACCGTGTAAAATACAATTTTAGAATTGTACCCAAACGGCAAGAAAATATACAAAATAAAGAAAATACATATATTGCTAATTTCTCGGCGTCATTGATTAATTTGACGTAACTTTTCGGGTCGGTGTTCTAGGAGAAAAGAACAATGTCTTTCCACAAATGACGTCGTTTGTGTGGGCGAAGTGATTTATGGTATTGATTAAGGTACGACGAAAGTAAGTGATTAATAATACCCTAAGAACTCTCTGGGGAATAAGTAATGATAAAATAATACCCTAAGAACTCTCTAAAAAATAAGTCATAATTCCTGTTCGTATTTTCGTCAATCCCATAATGCACTTCGCCGATCAACGTATGACGTCATTAGACTTCTGGATGGTGTCACGTGACATGTTGCAGCAAATGCACAAAGTCTATTCGTCCCCTTCTTCCTTAGGTCTAGTGTCCATGTTCTAGTGTAACAACAATGGAAAAACGCGTTTTCCGGCGATTGGGACGATTATTTTGACACACAATAACGTATTTAACCTGATATGACATGATGCTTGTTTTAACAAGCTATCTACAAACATAATTCACCAACTAAATCACCGTTAACTTCATGACTTACTTTAATTACTTAGACTTGTTGCTCTGATCATTTTGTAACATACATTCAATGGCGGATCCAGAACACAAAGCGGTGTGATTTAGGGCTTTCAGATAAACGCTTCTTTTTTCAGAAACAGTTGTGTAAAAAGATAATTTAACACCGTAAAAAGTAGGTGAAACAGATTGAGTTCCATTCAGATTTGATTTCTTCGTTCATTTATTTGTATTATATATGTCTATTCAGTTTTATATTTTTAACCCTAAAAGTGGTGTGGCTAGCCACCCTAATCGCCCTCTGGATCCGCCCATGACATTTTATAACTTTGAATTGAATATTATAAACTCGTATTTTTTATGTTAAAACAGAAACTACATTTGAAATATTGATTCTTATTTGATATCTTGTGATTAAGGCTGGAAATCCGTTCAACAAAAGCGAAAACTTTGAAAATGATGTTCACAATACTATGTTCGACTGGCCGCGGAACATTTTGAAGTGGTAACTGCACACCACTATAAAATTCGGTCTCCATGGTTATTTAGCGTTGCTTTCGCCGCCCAACCTGATAAAATTTTAGTTGACATTACTGTACAATTTCAACTACATCCTTGATATATCTCTCGTACAATATTCTTGTGCACACGAGTTACAAGATCTAGTGGAAGTATTCTTGATGTATATACAATATAGAAACACATAAAATCCCACCAAATTCTTAACGCCTGGTCTTCTTGATAAAACAGATTCACTTGGTTAATCATAACTATCACAATTGTTCTCGTTGATATGTGCACTTGCTATATTATTTGTTGAATGTTAATTAACTTCTTTGTTGTATCTGTCARTGTCATACTTCAAGGAATTTGCTCTTAAACCCATTGGTTATAAAAGGATCCTGCCACATTTTCCGTAGATCACCCTGTAATACAAACAGTTAAATACTGAATTACTTTTAAAAGCCGGCTGTTAGCACTTGAACATGCAGTGAAAACGCGGCGATCTTTAGCTCGTGTATAATAAAGCTAGCAAGTTAGTGCGCAAGATACTTGGAAGCGAGTAGCACTCTTGTAGTGCACACCAGTTTTCACAGTCAGATTTTGAGAAAACAATAGGAACATTCTGGTATTTCCCGCCACGTATCACTGTAAAACACACATTACTGCAAGGCTAAGGTATTCTTACAAACAACATATCTCTTATGGCTATCGTATATCGGTAGGGGCATTACCTCTCCCAGTCATATCAATTACTTAACCTGCTAATGATAAGACCTATTAAGGAGACTTTTTTACCTTAAGATAAGCCATGAGTAAAATTGGTAATAATGTAAAAGGAACTAAATAAAGAAGAGCTGGTTGCGCAGCCTTGTAAACTTCTGATGCCACAGTTGCTGTTACTAATCCTAAATGATAAAATTAAGACAAAAAACTTTAACTGCGTGTAATGAGAAAACGGAAGAACACTGCAGAACATGGATGAGCTAAGAATAACAAGGCACAGATAAAAAGAGAATGAAATAGAATAGGATAGGAGAGATAGAAGAGAATAGATGATATATTTAACGAGGCACTTACCTACTATATATCCTATAAGTGAACAATGAAAATATGTGATTTTACTTTCTGTCTCTGGTGATGCTGCATGCATTTTCTTATATTTGTCATAACGCATAACAAAGCATAATAAAAGACCAGGCATTACCTGAAAAACAGTTTGTACAAAACTAAGTAAAAAATATTTAAGGTAAAATTTATCAAGGATACTTCAAAAATTTGTTTAATCTTAATAATATTGAAAAATAAACAGAAGGGAGCAGTAATTAACTATTGCTGGGAGACCCGGTAAATTTGGGAACAGGGCTTCCATTTTATGGGTGCTCTTTTTGGGAGGGCCACAATTTTTTTGGCCCTACATATTGATGAGGGCCATAATTTTTTGACTGCCACAACAAGAGCTTCATTTCAAAAATTATCATGTTGTATATCACACTATCTATTATCAATATTCAATGTCTTTGTTAAAGTCTGTTATACAGTTTTTTAAATAGAACTGCTTTTTGTGGGGACATCAAGCCCTCACCACTGGTAATATTGATGACTGGGAACCCTTGTTCACAACACAAGCTATTATTTATTAGGTGTTTAAATGGGTAATAACAGCTTATGAATAAGTTTTACAATATTACTTACAATATCCCCTAATCCTAGCATTGAGAATCTTCCTTGTTCTTGGCTGCAATGAATATATTATAAACAATGCGTAAGTTTACTAAGGTATGCAAATACTAACATCGATGATGTATAAAATTAAGCTCTTTCTTGAATAAATACATCAAACTAATGTTCATTGAAAACATACCTGGGAAAAACCAGTTTACCAGGAAGAGAGATTTGAGGAGAAGAATTGATGATGGAGTTTAATTTTAATTTATTTGCTACATACGCCATCTGGAAAAAAGTGAAACATGTCATCTACAATGCTGTAAGAATTCAGGATATGACAATATTATAGTAAGATGTTATCAAGTCCTGACATTGAATACAGTTATCTAGTCTGACACCTAACAGCACAATTTTGCCAAACATTTTAATTTAATCAAAAAGCTATTAACACAATTTTCCTTTGGTAGAATTTAAGCTCCAATGTTAGGATAACTTTATAGGTACAAAATGAGTCTGACATTTTAATAAAAATTTTATACACGAGAAGATTAGAATAAAATTAAAAATTTGTATCTCCAAGCAACCATGTAATATTCTGTTTATCATATAGTTGCATATGAAAGCAAATTATGTCGTAAAATACCTTTTTTACTTCCAATATATAGAGAAACCTTGAGTGTGTTATTTTCAAAAGAGAAAAATATAGGTATATCATAGATCTATAATTATATAATGATATGTTTTTATTAAAAGAAGGGTTTAAGTGAATCTAACATTAATCATCTTTGATATTTGCAATTAAATGGCTTTTATTATATTACTCTTGACAGCATAACTAATCAAGGTAAATATAGCTCATGTTAGGTGTATAGTACAATATATCTGTCTAGATATACATGTATCTCAATTATAACAGCTCAATTTTTTATTCAAAAGAATATTCATTTTGGCTTTCCTTACATTACTATAAGGCTAATCAATAATTTATTGTGGTAAAGTGAAGAAAGACAAGTTCTTGAAAACACAGAATATGTAATATACATCAACAGTCTTGATGACCAAACCATGCATCTCAAAATCTAATCTAACACATCTAATATTGTAAAAACAAAATTATTGAGTTTCATAAGATTATATCTTCATCAACACTAAGACAAAATGAGATAAAGTTGAATTCTATTTGCATACAGACATATACTTATTATAGATGCATACACATTAAACAGTGCCAAATTCACTGTGCAGGGAGACTCAAAAGTACATGAATGGTATTTTATCTTTTTATGTTCTCCTTTTGTTCTTAGCTTTGATGGTGCAACCTTGCCAATTTTTTAAATTTTATTTAAGATATACGTCAAATATAAATTTAAAATACAAAATATTACACACAAACCAACAAATAACAAAGATAATCTAGGTGGTTTTATGTAATTGAAGTACATTCAGAAATACACACTTATAATTATTCTAAATATTTACACATACAAATTCACAGAAAAAAGGAGGAAAAATATACAAGTAAACATTATAAGGTATATAATGTATTGCAAATTGACAGAGAAATTGTAATTGGGAAGATCTGGACTTTTTGAACCCAAAAACGTTTTGTCAACAAGACAACCTGCAGTTTCAAAAACCAAATTTTGATGGTCATTAAAGTCAGACTTTACAACCAATGATTTATCCCTAATGTCAAAATTCCTGGCTAATTTATAACGTTTTTCCATGACAACTTTTTACCAAATAGGTGCAACTAAGTAAGTCAGTTGCAGGTATTAAATCAAACTTATCATTACTCTTAAAAACAATTGAAAATATTTAATTCAGTGAGTGTTTACCCAACACAGATCAAGTAGATAACTTACCGGATTACTGGCTTGTTGTGTGGCCACTTTGACCATCACATTTGCTTTGAATATATAAGCTGAGAAGAATACCTGGACGCAAACAAAAAAATAAATGTGCTTTCTGCACAGAATTATAATCTGTGAACATGTCAAATTACTCTATACTGGAGAAATAATAACAGAACCACTGAGGATGGAATAAACCATGGCATGACCACTTTCAGTGACTTCAACTCTTTCTGCCTTTGGATCGACAGTATTATTTTGCTAAAACAGTAGTCGTCCAGCTGAAAGGCGAAGCTAAGTGACTACACTAAACTACAAAGAATAAGCATGAAGTATATTGTTGAAAATCAGTAAAATAGAAGAAGGAAACTTACCCAAAATACATCATAAATTAATAGCCCTGATAATAATAAAGTGGATATCTTTAGACTTGGAAGTCTGATGTAAGCTATCATTGACACGCATAAACCCATTGCTAATGCTGAAAGAACAACAAGATAAATTAATAAAAACACAATTCATTGAATATATTTAACAATACATAAAAAATACTGATGAGATGTACAGTGATTGATTTTTGGTCTTTTTCAAGGTAATGATCAGCATTACCTTTTTAAGCTTATGTGTTGTGATTTGATTTTGATCACACCCATTCAACTTTTTTGATGAGGTAGGAACATTTTCAAGTGCCAAACATTATCTTCCAAGGACAAGAATTAAATAGCAGTGATTGGTAGTGATATTTGTAAATGTTTAACTCCTTACCATCCATGAGAACCCAGTGTCCAGTCACTATCCAAACCATTACCAACATAGCAGAGAAGAATAATGACATCAACTCTGCACAGGTGAACCTTCCACAACATCCAAGTGAAATTCTGCAAGACAAATGACATATTTAAAGATATTATACAAAAGGACAAGATAATGAGCCCGGGAAGTGACTTACTTGTTATTAGTATTTTTACCACAAGGATTTAACAGTCCTTGACATACAGGAAGAAGAAGAAATGAAAATGCAACAGTAGCAAGCACTGAAAAAAAATCAGACAGGTTTAAAGTTGTAGTCATTTTTTTAAATCACAATAATATTATTGTTTTTTATTATATTGTTTTTATTTTATACTATCATTGTCATAAGAAATCATAATATTGATAAAACACTGCTTTTAGTTTCATTTCATTTTTGACAAAGACATCAATTCATGGTAGGGAGTATTTAGTAACAGCAAAGCTAGCTGTCAGAATCAACCTAAGAATGTTGGGAAATCCTCAAGTGCTCAGATAAAGTATGACATGAAAAAAATTGATAGAACAGCTTTCACCTGGGCAAAGTAAAGATTGTGCGATCAATGTTAAAATCAATGTGAAACAAAACATTGACAGGGTCTTGAAACATGAAAAATTTTTGGTGATTAATTCATAACTTTAGTTTTCTGTCCATGTGTACCTGCAGTGCAGAGAGCAAAGAAGAACTGAAGAGTGTTGAAGAAGAAAAACATCACAAGAAGAGAACAAGATGCCCCAACTGGCAGAAATATAGCTTGTGCAGTTGTAATAGTCTGAAAACCTGTTAGAATAAGAACAAAAATACATGTTGACAAAATAATAATAATGAAAATAATAAACTGGACAAATATAATGAACACAACATCGTGTTTAATGTTTCGCATTCTCTTTTATTTGAGTGTTCTATTCTGCCAATGTTATTCTGAGTGAACACAAGACATGTTGGCAGCAGGTTACTTTGTATTTAAAACAATTTGCATTTTTACTTTCCATTGTACTTTTAATTAGCATGCAGGTAATTTGAAACTACAAAATAATAGCTCACAGCTGTTCTTTGTCAAAAATCATAGCATCGGCATTTCTTACCATCCAAAATCCCACTGAATAAAGAGCCATTTGATGCTTGCTCTGTTTCTGATTCATCGTTTTTGCAGGCAGTATCTAGTCCAAGAGCTCTGCAGTTTTTATAAAATACAATACATAAATCCAGTTGAACAATCAGTTAGTACGGAGCATTGCTTTAAAGAGTTATCTTCTTATTATAAATTAAAGAAACGCTGTCCACGGCATAACAAATTACAATGGGAGCCAATTGAAAGTGCTACACTTACAAATTGTTATGTGCATAAAGCTCACTAAAAAAAGAAATCTAATATTGATCAGATTACTGAGCAGAAAAATATATGAACGTAGAGATCGAAATGTAAAGGGTGTTTTTGACAATTGTCAAAAACTTGGTCGCTTGATAAAGTAAACACGCCACAAACATGTGCATTAATACTTCATTGAAAGGAAAGATTTCAATGATTTACATACTTGAATGTATTATACATAAAAAATCATGCTTCTTTACCTAAAACTGCCATATACAATCAGCAGAATTGAGATAATTATGGTCAACACACGAGATGTATCAAGCAGCATATAAAACCTGAAGGAAAAAAAGAGTAATTTTCATTCAACAAAAAACAAAGAGAATCGATAAAAACACACGTGTATTGCTTGTGTTAGTTTAAAAAGTATTCTCAAGTGCATTATCTATTTCCTAAAATACAAATTACTTACCAGTGATGCTCGATTGTTTCTTCCATAGCGGTTTTAACGATTAGGGGAACAGACCAGCAGATTTCTAGCTACTTCGACCAATGCCCAAAACACGTTCCAAATAGAAAATTCTACTGCAGAAAACTAATCATCATCGTCGATACTGATAAGCAAAAATAGAGTTTTTTTCTCACAGTAGGTAAATCACAAAATGCTGATGTTTAAGGGAGAAAGGATAATTCAAGTCACGCGAATTTCGAGTCAGACGCCATTGTTGTTGTTTTCTCCTCAAAAGTCTGTATAAGTGGTGAATTGTGGGTAATTTATACGCAGGGTCCCCTGGGATATGTTCTGAAAATGTGTATGGGTTTTTGGAATGGATAAAAGAACGGTTAAAAAGACTTTTATCAATCAATAGATAGAATTTTCTTTTTTATGAACAAAACTCCATCAAGAATGCTGGCATCCAGATGTGGCCAATAATAAGTTTTCCATTATATTTTTTCAAATATACAAAATTCGGAAACATTCTGATGATTTTTTTAAAAGAAGAACTTATAGGTCATACCAATCAAAGGAGATACGATCTGAAAATAGCACCAATAAAAACTTGAAGGTTGATTCTGGGAGGGTTATAAACGAAGATGACGTAACTGGACTGCGTTTATAGGGACTGGTAACGAGTTAGCAAGGAACGCCTGTCGATTTTTGCAAAATTTGGGCTGCATCTCTCGTTCACTTCCATCCATAGATTATTTTCCATTTTTAGAAAAGTTGGAATGAAAAAAAAAAAAAACAAGAAAAAGCTGGTGTAGTTCGTCTAAGTAGTATTTTATGTTGTTCAGAATGTCTCGTTTGTCACAGTTCTCTCAGCAAAGCGGTGATGAAAGCCCGTACATTTTGGTCGCTAAACTTGACAATGCTCGCAATATGTCCAACATTTTGAAGGCTGTGCACTTTAAAGATGTATGTAATCACTGATGTTAAAGTAGTTCTATTTGAAAATATTATGTTATCGTATGATTTTGTATCTGTCATACTAACTGGTGATCAATTCATATCCTGATAAATGCATATTCCCATCTCAGAGTGCAACGTGCTTTGTGAGTTCCAATGGTATTAAAGTCACAGTGGAAAATGCTAAGTGTGTTCAAGCCAATGCTTTCATCCAATCTAACTTATTTCAAGAATATACTTTCAAAGAAGAAAGTGCTACCTTTAGAATAAATCTCAATGTCTTGATGGTATGTTTACTCTTCTTTGTTAGTCATCAAAACAATTTCATAATTTCAGTATACGTCTCCAGGTGAACATGTTGCTATTCATATTCTTTAGGAATGTCTGAATATTTTTGGCTCTTCAAAAGACAGCGGATGTTTCACTACTCTCAAGTTATGTTACAAGGGATATGGATTCCCATTGGTGTTAATGTGAGGAAACCACAATTTCTTTTAGAATTATAATCATGGACTTATTCTCCTGTTGTTCATTCTGTATATATAATAGTACTAGCTCCTGACATTCTCATAAATACAGTCAATTGCAAAAAAGATATAGAAAGGTTGAGATATGTAATTATACAGTATATATAATGTATATGAGATACCTATAATGACATGCAGAGGTACAAATTTCCATTTCTTCATGTTTCTAAATTTCCGACAAAGAAGAAACACCTTATCACTGAACACTGAGATCTCATGTGCAATATCATGTTTTAGTGGTTTTGGTGATTTTAAGAAAGTGCAGTTAATAAGTTTCATGTATGTGTACAACTTTTAAGAAGAAGACTTGAATTGGGTTTTAGTTGCCATGGAAATTTATCCAAACATACTCCTGCATCTCATTAGGTATTTTATGAATATCTATATAAATATGTCAATATATATTTAAGTGCATATCTCAATGCACAACTTTTTTACAAATATTGACAAATATTGCAAATATGATAATCAACATATTATATGACAATTCACAAATAGAGCAGATTTTGTGTCCATGCCGTGATCCATGCAGTCATACAAAATCTTCTGTAGTATGTATTGGAAAGCATGGTTCACTAATAGTTGTTATTTTATAGGTTAGAGGAAGGGGGTGTGTTGACAGATTGCAGCATTCAAACTGAAGAACCAGATGAGACTTTAGATTTTGACTTTAGCAGTGCAAATGTTCTCAATAAGATAATTATGAAGGTAAATTAATATCAAAGGGATAGGTTGCAATACAATCATATTTCATTGATATATGAACTATCCAGCTGGATGTGAATTCTTTCCAATTTTCTTTCCAATAGTCAGAGTGTCTGCGAGAAGCCTTTGATGAGTTGGATATGACAAGTGAAGTTCTACAAATTCTCATGTCTCCTGATAATCCATACTTTAGACTCTCTACATTTGGATATGCTGGCAGCACACATGTAAGGCATTCCATACCTACCTTAAGCTCTTTTCTTTTAATTCATATTACCTATACTTGTTAAATTTATTATAGTCTGACTTTCCTAAAGATTGCGACATGGTGGAATCATTTGAATGTGAACAGACACAAACAAACAGGTAAAAACTATTATTTAAGTTACACGACCAAATTTAATGCTTCAGCGTACCTTTCTTTCTTTATTAAGTTGTAAAATGCTGATTTAAATAACCTCAGCTTATCTGATTATTTCCTAGATATAAAATCAACCTTTTAAAGCCATCTACAAAGGCATTGCATTTATCTTCCAAGATATCGATTCGAATGGATGATAGAGGTTTTCTCTCACTCCAGTACATGATAGTTAATGATGATGGTCAAGTCTGCTTTGTTGAATATTTGGTGAGTTTTGGCTTAACTATTATTACTGTATGTAGCATGCAGCAGTACCTGATGTGGTTAAACTGTAGACTTACTCCAAGGCTCTGTCACGGTTTACTCTCAAGCAATGACAAATGCAACAAACATCCCTAGTTATCAATGCTGCCGACAGGACAGACTTTGAAAACTTTTCACCTTTATATCAAAATCATTGAATTGGCCTTCATGGAAACTGATACATTTTTTAAACTTTTTCAGGTGCACATGCCAGCTAAATGAGCCAAATCAGTATAAGATTTTATTAAATACTAAATGATATAATAGCGCAAGCTTTGTGATGGTACTTACAATAATCATGACTTCAAAATACAAAGTAACCATTGAAGACAATAATTATTTATCATGATACATATTCAGATATTAAATTGTATTTAATACCATTGCTTGCATTGCTATCTAACTAACAAGACAAAATTAATGATGTACAATGAACAATAGACTGCCTTTATTGTTAAATCATTATGTGCATTTCAAAATTCTGTATAATTTTGGGTGATAATTAAATTGAGTGCTTTTATTATTTATTATAATTCCCCTCTAATTCATTGTTTCAATTAAAAATATTGAATGATCAATCAATTAATCATTATCACTATAATGTATTGTATTATGTTTTAACAGTGCGCTCCAGATGAAGAAATGGAGGATGACGAAGACGAAGTTGAGTCAAGTGTAAGATGACATTTTAAGTACTTCCATAAACTATCTTTGTAAATATTTTTTATGTTGTTCTTTTGTAAAAGCTGTGTATGAATAATATTGATATAATACATACAAACTGGTATACGGAGCAAAAATCAAAAATTACAAACAAAAACTTCTAGATTCATTTTATCTACGGAATAATGGAATTCTATTCAGTGTTACCTTAGATACTGGCAGCATTTCCAATGTGTTTATTAAAAAGCTGTGAGCTCCTAAGAATTTTTTTTCAAAGATATGATGTCATCTTGTTTATTCACTAGGTTTTCAAGCCTATTCATTTTATATTTAAGTAAAAAATTAAAAATGATGTCACAAAATTCTTAATGAGGTATTTCATCAATTGACTGTGATGTCGCAAAATTCTTAATGAAGTATTTCATGTGTGGTGTTTTTTAGGAATCTAATAATTACCTAGTCTCCTCTGCAAATACATATTTGGGTTACAAAGGGGGGGGGAGGGAGGAGGAGGGGGGGCTCCCTTTGGACTGTCTGGTCTCCTTGCAGCCATGTTTAGTTTCAACCATGTGTCACAAAAGGTCATGTGCATGACCAAAACTAAACTTGGCTGAGAGGAGACTAGGGTCTAGCATGCAGGCTATAGAAAGATATGCTATGGGGGCATACGTTATTGTTCGCTGAGTCACAGGCTATCATAAGGTCCTCTTGGATGTTCTGCATCATAAATTTTTAGTGTAATAAAAAACACAAACTTGCTTAGTGTAATAAAAAACACAAACTTGCTTTGCAAAGGAGACCACTTTCATAATTGAGATGGCTAATAACCTAAATTTTCATAATAAATGTTAATTTATTTTCCCGCATTTTTGGTGGCCATGTAGACATTCCATCCAAGAGCAAACAGGTTTGCAAACAATAAACGGTACTAGAAAATAAAACAACATTCAAATATGAGATTCACAGACTTTACAGAAAGTTATGTTTGGATTTCAAAATAAAATCTTGTACATAACAAAAAATAATAACAATATTTTTCGTACCTCCAAAGGTATGTAATTAAAGTTTACATATTGAAAAAGAGTCCATATTTTTAAACTCATTTTAAAGGCAGTCCAGAAATTGTCTTGGACCTTCTTTACTGCTGCTTTGGATGACTGGCCCTGCAAAGATAACTCACTATTACAGGTAGTGAACTTTTGATATATAGAAATGTGTGCAATACTTTTCCAGATGTGAGTCTTTGTACAAAAAGAAGTCAAACTATTTATTTTCACTCTAGTGATTTCAACCCTCTTTTCCTGGCCTGCATGTTTTTATTACATTATTTACATTAACGATGGATTAAAGCAATAAAGAAGAGAGGAATTAATAGAATATTGAGCTAAATGTGAACTTCTGAACTCACCTCCAATAATGTTATTACATAGAAAAACAAAGCATAAAAAATTGGAGAAAAGATGATGCGATCAAGGGCAAGTTTCTTGATAGTTGCATGACTTGTTCCTTTAGGAATGAAGTGCTCAAGAGCTTGATAAAAGTAGTGAACAAAGGGACCAGTAATTGCAAATCTACAAAAGAAAGAATAAAAAAAACATATTATTTTGTTTTCATTTCATTATTGTACTTTTTATAGGTATCTCTTCATATACAAACCAATGCCCAATCAAAACAAAATTGGAGTTTTATGATATGGTATATTGTGATAATAAGAGGCCATATTGTATATCATTATTTCACTATGATTTCAACAAGATAATGCGTTGTTTTATTTAAGCAATAAACAACACATTTCCATGCGTTCCTGGTGAAATAAACCATGCGGGACGTTGGGAGAGCAAAAAAAAAGCATAAAAAATATTGAGCCGAGCAAGAAAAAATGTGTTGTTTTTATATTGCTTTTATATTATAGTATTTTTGTATCTGTGCATTTACTAGTGAAATAAACAATAACATTTGACCAATCAGAGAGTGCATACTATGATAGCTATAATAAATGTCTTGAGATTAAAATCTTTAAAGGAATCTTATTTTATCATTATGAATAATGCCGATGCTTGCAGTCATTGAGCCTTTTGTCCAGCTGCCCCTTTGTACTGTTTGCCAAAGCAAAGAAGAGCCTACGATTACACCCTACTGAGAGGCAAGTCTGGTTCAGTGCACTGGTATACTCTGTTACTTTTAAAAGGGCAAATAATTCTAGGGAGATTATTGTATATGTTATGTAATAACAATCTCATTTGGGCTACCTGTATCATAATATATGACTATGACAGCCTTATTTGGACTACGTGTGCAGGCGAAAGCCTTATTTGGACTACATGTACAGGCGACAGCCTTATTTGGACTACGTGTGCAGGCAACAGCCTTATTTGGACTACTTGTGCAGGCGACAGCCTTATTTAGACTACGTGTGCAAGCAGATATACTTCAGATATAGATCGATTGTATTTCTGACTTACCCAAAGGTTGAAAAAGCAGCAATTGATCTAAAATTCAATCCTTTACCATCGCTTGTACCTCGTAACTTCTGAGATATCAACTGCCCTAATCCTGATGTGACAGCACTAAAAATATTGATACAAGCTCATTAAGCTTACTGATACAAGTTATAAATCTTTATATCAAATGTTTCGCTGCAGCAATTAGCAAACAATGTGAGCAATATGTAAAGCTAATTAATTATTGATATACCAGGTAACGGACTTGGTAAGGACGGGTCTTGTTCGTAACAAGTACTTATAAGTTGCTAGGCATTCTGACAGAAGACCTTTTTGTTTGCTGCTTTTATCCTTAAAAGCACCGTAATCTTTCTCCATTGCTTTGTCTGCCATTTTGGATTCTAAATGAGTTGTACCCATTCTCCAAGGATTTATTCGATTAACCTGGACAGGAATCCCATCAATTAACACTTATCAAGTGTCATTTTTATTTATTTGTTCATATTTTTGTTTTCAACACAGTATAATAACGTAAATAGGAGTGACTTAGTGCATAAAAGTAATAATGTTTTTTTTAATGTCTAAATGCATTTTAAAAAGACAATGTTTTTTGCAAGGATGAGGTCACGTTTAAAGCACCACTAGTCGCCGTCTTGTACTATCAATAATCTGACACTGTTCTTTATCGCTATCATATTACGGATTCTATATTGAAAACTGTTCACGATGACTCCTTTGGTTCAAAAGCCTGTAGGGCCTGTAGCCTGATACGATGAATGGGATCATGGGCGTGTCCATGACCTTCGATCGTCGATGTAATTCATAGCCAAGCTAGGCAGGACAGACGTGTTTGTCCAAGAAGTGAATCATTCCTTGTGTTGCTTTACTTTTAAGCAGTTCATTTAGCCTGATCTGTGTTTTTTCTGCGCAAAAAAAGAAATTTTAAAGAATGAGAATTAATTATAACCGCTCTTTCTCTGAGTCCTGATATTAGCGGCAATCCAGGGTTAACTCCCGCCTCATGGATAATTCTATATTTTTTGGAAGAGTCAACCCAAGATTAGCGTAACAAGTCAGCCCTTGTGACATTTTACCTGCATCATGTACAGTTGCTGCTCTAGAGTTGTCCTCGACTATACTTCCCAATGCTCTTACCCAGGCCCACACAGACATGACACATTCTACGTCTTCACCTAGACGGATAAGAGAGTAATTCACTGCAAATGCCTATGCTTAAAATCAAGAAAGACGGAGGCGTAACGTGGTTATACTGTCCAGGAACAGACTCCAACCAGAATAGATGATCAGGTAAGACTTTCTTTTCTGGTTTTCTGTTGTTTTTTTTTACTGCGGATCTTGACATTGTACTTTCACTAAGAAAAAGCACCTCTACCATTCCGTGAACCTTTGTATATCAAATTTCCACGTCAGCTGAGTGCGTATATCTTTCATTTAGATTCCGCGGTAGTAGTAAGTGTCGGTATCAATTATATTAGTGGTAGTAAGTGTTGGTATCAATTATATTAGTGGTAGTAAGTGTTGGTATCAATTATATTAGTGGTAGTAAGTGTTGGTATCAATTATATTAGTGGTAGTAAGTGTTGGTATCAATTATATTAGTGGTAGTAAGTGTTGGTATCAATTATATTAGTGGTAGTAAGTGTTGGTATTATTACTAGTGGTAGTATTAAAGTGTTGGTATTATTACAGCAGCTTGTCAAGATAGCATACCTTCTTTGTTTACAAAGCAATCCTTCACAGTCTCGTTGGTACGACTTCTTTTTGGAGCTGGCGACAAGTCTTCTTCAAGGATTTGGGGGTTCCACATGTTATGGTTCCTCTGAGGTGATATAATGAGAGAGGTTCAATTTTAATAAAAACAGTATTCCAGTTTTTTTGCGCTGTTTATGTAACATAGCACTATAACTTATGGGATATATGATAGCATTAATGAAACAAGGAATGACATAATAAATCAAATCAACCAGACACTCACAAAGTGTTTACTCGGGCTGCGGCATATATATTTCATACGACTCTCTCTTCTGACGTTTCACGCTTGTATGTTGGGGAAATGTCAAAATGTCGCTTGTATAAGTAACCAATAATAACTGACCAAGCGAAATTTGCTCTGTTACATCCAGTAAATCGATTTTTAATTTCTTGCCTTGTTGTTGATTTAGCGAAGATTTTAAGGTGTTTCGATCGTAATAAATAGCGCTTCACGGGTATTTTAAAAATATGCGCGAAACGCTATTTATTACGATCGAAACACCATAATTAGACTCATTCTATTTAACAATAGCAGCATCATGTCTAGTGTGAATGTGATAACCTTGGGTACATGTAAATCCATGTAATGACTTCCAAAACTCTCCATAAAACATTCAACCGAGACCTGCAATTAGACCCCCTGCGCGCAGCCCGAGCAAAAAATCGAAACAATATAAATAACCCAATAATCAACAGCTTTCGGTCTCATCAGACTATTTACCTCAGTCGATACTGTGCTAACATGTAAACAGCGGCTTTGGTTATTGGTAGAACTGATCAAGAACTCTTTTGTTTTCAGCTTACATGATAAATCTAACAGGAAGTCGTTCACCAATCGAACAACGTTCAACAAATTTTCTATTGAAATCTTGTTTGAATTATCGACAGTGTACTGACTTTGTACTAATGCCCAAACACGAACGTCGCGTAACGTACCAAGAGAGGCAAGGATATCTTCCATTTGTAAGCTTTGTTGAACGTCGACGTGTTGTGCTTTTAACTGTTAAGTTATCAGAAAAAGAGCTAAATATATACTAGAGATATATGAAATTCCTTCAAAACGAACCAATAGCAGCAGACTGTTCTTTTGATTGAGGGATTCCCCAGGCGATCGCGTGGGGAAACACCTTACAAGATCAACACTCCGGCTATCTACATGATCGAAAGTGAAAGATCATAAGGGAGTTTCCCCAAAATGTTTTGTCGATGGTGCGTTTTTGTTTTCATTTCTAATGAAACTCAAATTACTTGATACTGAGAAGTTGCTGATAAAGCATGAAAAGTCGACGGTTCACATCAGCCATTTCGCGGATCAATATTTATTGTTTTTCCGTCCGGTATCCTAGTCATTCCCCCGCTGTTTTGGCTAGCGTGCGGTCTGGTTTTTCACGATCTGTCCGGTCCACGGTATCCTGCAGCTACAATTGTAGGTTGCTCGGGAGAAAAGTTGCGCTCGGTCCGTACTCTCAAGACCTCGGGCAATGTTTTCCTATACGGACCTCCCAGCCGGTAAATAACATATATGTATTATGCGCAACGGTCAAGACCGAAAACAGAGGCAATCATTTATACGTACATTCAGTTTGGGCCATGGCAATTTTTTAGGATTATCTACCATTGCGTCATTTGAAAAAACGCGGTAGTTGAGCAGTCAAACAAAATATGACATGTGAAAGGGGGGGGGGGGGGGGGGGGGGAGAGAAATACGGATAATTTTTTAGTTATAACTCACATATATCGTGTATACAGTCTTTTGAGAAAACGTTGGCTCGAAGATTGCAGTGCATGCATTTTTGTTCGTTCTATCGCCATTCAAAATGGGTTTTCGAGGTTGGATATACTATACCAGCTCCTCAAAATAAATACTTCGATATAAAGTATAAAACTAGTCAACTTATAACGAACTAATGTGCATTGCAGTCTTATACTTACATTACTATGCCGATTATTTTAACGTTTTCTGAAATACCTCTAATGATCTAATGCGCCTCGTAAATATTTGCTATGGAATAATTTACAATAAATTACTAACTTTAAAATTAATATTTACAAAAATCTAAATTCAAAATTCAATAATACAATTAAGAAAGTCAACGTAAAATGAGTAAAATAATTGTCAAAATTGTTAATAGATAGTAAGGAATTATAAAGAATGTAAACGTTCGATTTCGGAAAATGTGAAACCAAAATGGAACCCCCTTTCAATCAATTTGAAAAATCTTGTATCAGAACGCCCTGTTCGAAAATGTGTAGCCTGCGTGACGACCATCTGGTGGAAACCATATCCTCTTTGATTAAGTTAGCCAATCACAATCCTTCCTCAAATCACATGGCTGTCCGTGTTTTGACCCCAATCTCCCTAAAGTGTCTGGCACTCCCAACTGAAGGTCGTTGTCAAACACTATATCGACGTTTTCCAGCTCATTCTTTGCCAATATCTTCGCTTGAAAACTTGGAATACTCGCTTTTCTTGCTGGGATTTAAAAATTCTTCTAGTTTGTGAGTATAAACAATCGATATTTGCATTGATGAAGCTTATGCATTTTGTTTGTAGGTGGTTATCGTAGTTTTCAAGATATTAGGGTACTATATAAAGCCAATGTTTGTAACATTCCAAACGCCCGAAATGTTCACACCAAACGTGTCTTGTTTTGCAACGATTTCTTTTAATACGGCGGCGCCTAATTAATGTGCTCACCTAAATCTTTTTTGCATATTTACAGTGTTGTGATATGCACACGCACTAGGGCACCTTAGATTGACTAAATGACATCTTTTATATTTCTTTTCATTTTAAAGTGTCTACTTTAAATATCATATTTAATTGCTTTTTACGAGGACCTCACTCCTCCTTAGTTTGGTTATAAATGCACATTTTTTCAGTCTATTTATATTGAACGTTTCATACAAGTACATCATGTTCCCCGAGGCTATGCAAATGTATCCTATGCAGTTGTCACGAGAATGTTCTTGATACTTGAAAAGTTAATGTATTGTGAACGATTTGGGCATGTTTTACTTTCTGTAGTTGATTGTTGCTTCGATTGAATGTATATGAATACTTGACAGTTTTCTCTGGAATGTAATTTATCACACTAGTACTATACTGGTTTCGTTTACCATGACATTGGGATCAATTTGAAAACCCTCACAGTATGAGTTTATTGTAAAAACATCAACGCGTTCCTGACTTGATCCACGTGCAAATAGACTTTTGAAAGTTTTGTTCAATTCTCAAAATTTCCTTTACTTTTTATGAGTCCAAAGAGAGTCCGACTTCCACAACGTCGAAAAAAGGAAAACTTATGCATATTTTGCGATACACTCTCCATTGATTGTCAGTACGTGATTTTGGGAAAATACATTATTCACTATAGTCAAAACAATTTAACGTGGTTGTGTTTCATTGTGTGAAGGTTACCCTGGCTGATATCTGTGTCCAGTTTTCTGGTCCTGATATTTTTGATCGAAATGTTTTAGTCGCCGATAAAGTTTCGTGACAAATAGTATTCAAGTATGTTAGTGTCATCAGATTATACGATGCATGAAATGACACTCTCATTGAAATTCGTCGAAGTGGAAATAGCTCATTAAGGATCTCAATAATGTACAATTTATAATAATGTATCAGTGAATTTTCATATCATGTATAAATGTTATGAGCGACATGAGATARACTCTTTAAAAATGTTTAATGTTAAATTGATTTTTATAGATACACTCTAGTCAAGCCTTGATCATTCATGCGACACTGAAGAGTGTATGTTTGTACATACTGTAGCTGTAGTAACTTGACCTCTAGAGTGCCGTGCCGTCATCTTCCAGAAATTGAGAAATTTTATACAAACGAAATATATTCAACAATACTGAAACTTTCTTTTGTAGGACGGCACAACACGACAAGATGAAGAAACTACTTAAAAAGGACCATAAAGACAAAAGTGAAAAGGAAGACAAGAAAGAGAAGAAAGAAAGGGAGAAAAAGGAGAAAAAAGAGAAAAAAGAAAAGAAGAAAGAAGAGAAATTGGCTAAGAAAGGTCATTCTCAGTCATCGACAAGCCTTGACGCTCAGAAATCCAGCGAATCATCGACCGTTGTCAAGACAACTACACTTTCCAGTAGCCCTGGGACTACAACCAAGACGGTCGTCAAGGAAACGACAAGAGATAGTGAAGGGGAACGCTCGACAACGACGACTACCGTCAAAGAGACGACCGCAAAACCTGTGGAGAATGGAGAAACTGTTGTTCAAAAGACAACGACTACAATCACAAAATCTGAACCGAAACCATCCAACGAAGAAGCTTCAAGTGTTGTTGAAAAGACAACTACCATCATTAAGTCTGACCCGGAACCATCCAACGAAACCGCCCTAACTGTTATTAAAAAAACTACAATTACCGAGTCTGAGCCAAAAATAAGTATGGAAGACGCTCCAAGTTTGGTGGAGGAGACAAAGACTAATCAATCTGAATCGACGCCGCCTGTTGACTCCAAAACTGTTGTCAAGGAAACAACAATCAAGTCACCAGGAAGAGAAGAAAGAGTAGTTATTACCCAGACATCTTCACAGGTGGAATCCATTCCTACGACAAGAGAGTTCTTAGAGAAAAACTTTCCTGAAACAGCAATGTTTGACAGGACACAAATGATCCAAAACAAATTGGATGGTGAAGATAAACCTCTACATTTCTCATCACAGAAGACCGTGATTAAAGAAGTTGGTGATGGTGGGAATACAGTGAAGACAGTAACAAAGGTAATTGCAGATGATGGAGGTACAACAACAACAAAAACTACAACATCATCTCGAGGCAATAATGACCATGTCGTTTCTGTTGAATCCAAAAGAAAAGCAGACTTGCCTGATTGGCTGGAGGTGAAGGAGGACGAACCTAAGGGTAAAGCCGTTATTGACGATTCCATCAAAATACCATCTCCTGCAGTCGAGAAGAAAGAAAGGACACAGCCTAAACCCACTGGACCTGCCGTGATTGAACAGATTCAATCAAGTGATCACAAAAAGGAAGATATATCAGGTTTCCTTGATAACTTGTCATCTGAGGGAAGCAAAGATCAATCCAAGAAGGAAAACCAAACACCGACAACGAATGCTGAGGAAAAGAATCTCGCAGGGTTGATGGAATCGTTGGAAAGTGCTCCCAAATCACAATCTACACCCATAACAACCCATACTAAACCAGCAACGCAAGATACAACTCTAGTCACTCCAAAAACCAAAGATTTTACTTCAGAACCGCAAACTCCTCCCAAACCGCAAGAAGCACCTACCACACAATACAACCATGAAACGCAAGTTGCACAACAACAAGAGAAGCCAAGACAGCCCACGAAGCCTAAGAACCAAGAAAAGATGCTTCTCGAGCGAGAAGTGAAAAGATTCATCAAAGATGGAGAAGCTTTTGAAACGATTACGGAAACCTTCAAGGACAAAGATGGTAAAGTTGAGACAACCACAACCACAAGAAAAAGACATCAACCAAAAGAAGTGGTTGATCTTAATGCTAACATCTTGTCACAACCTATCAAAGGAACCGAAAAGAAAAAGAAATACGAGGAAGACGACCCTTTTGTCCACGAGGGCGAAGTTGTCAATCCAGAAGAGGTGCTTGAAGAGATACTTGTTGTCGAGAGAAAAAGAAAAGTTCGTTTTCCAAAAAGTTTCGTTCCCCGAACACCAGAGCGACCAAAGTCCTGGGGCTTACCACTAGATCTTTTGATAGAACGTCAAAAAAGTCCAAAAAAGATTCCTGGTTATGTATACGGCAGGGAAGTGACAGAGAAAATAGAAGAGAAATCAAAGGACCCTGACGCTGAACTGCAAGAACTTGATCGATTACTCGCTGTCATAGAAGCAGCTGACGGTTAGCACTCGTATTTAACTATCACTTGATCAATAAATTGGATAAAAATCATTATTGTAGAGTAAAAGACAGAGATCAATGTTTATCATCAAGATATCATCCAGTACATGATCATAAGCTAAGATGTATAACATCCATATTTAACGACGAGTTACTGTCTAAGATGTTTGTCCTAAAACTTAAAAAAGTTGTTAAAAATAGTAACAAATCTGATGTAAACGTTATTCCCCCGATCGCAGAGATCGGAAAAGTCATTGCGAAAATAGGGGAAATAAAACAAAGTATGATGAACAATTCAGTCCCTTTCTTTCTTTTTTTAATCATTTCATTAAGTGGTTTGATTCTATTTGCGTTTAATGTCTCGAGTCAATTTCAGACCAATAAAAGCAACTTTGATTGAGCGGCAACTCTGTAGCTGTCGGTCAGGTTTATGTTAAAACGAGTAGAGTATTTTAGTCCTGACATGTACAGCCATTTCAGATAACGTCGAATATTGTGTGATAATACTACATTAGAGTATTCCATGACCGAAATTCATTCTACTGTTAAATTCCACAGTTACAAAATGACAATTGTAAACGAATAAGGCAATGTTCAGCGACTCCATTTTGTTCAAGAAAGCCGATGGTAGTCCTCGCGCTTTTTCATGTCCGCTAAAACAGTCATCATAAGCTGTTTTTGCGTTTTCTATGCACGGAAATGCAAATAATTATTAAAGTAGGGTATATAAACAAATAATCTGGCACGCAAGTGAAGCGTTCACAGGTTACTCGGGCTAAGCATTTCTAAATGCATGGTATTGTATGTAGCGTACACCAATATCATAGTTTCACTGTCAAAATTCGGAAAAAAAGAATAGAAATAAAGTACACTTAATTACCGTCCAGCACAAGAATCTTGGCATTGGGTTACCTGTGATTAGAGTCAGATTAGAGCCCAGTCTCAAGTTGAAAAGCATTCTGGGAAACTTTTCCATTGATTTCCCTGGGGGGTACCCTTAATTTTTTACTAACTTGAATTATCACGTGATGCAAATCAGCCAATGAAAATACCCGAAAAGAGCGGTCGAACTGAGTCGTGTATCGCATGTGCTGCCAAATGGGAGACTATTTCATGGAGTTTTTGCCATATTTTAGCCTTAATTTTGATTAGATTTGTACAAAGTTTTAATCAAGGGGGTGTAGTACAACATGGGGGAACAGCCTGGTGCTGGAAGAACGCATTCTTTTAAGATAAAAGGACATTCTCGACAAAGAAGAGCAGCGAAACCGTATTCTCGACCATCTGATCGCAATAAGGTTAGCAGTTTGATGGAACTCGTGTTTTAGTAAAAGTTTAAAAAAATTCAACTTAGATCACTTTAGGTAATTCTCTATGAGTAACGGGCTATCGTAACGTTGCATGTTAAAGTGGTTTAGAAGGCTTATTTGTGTTTTATCTCGGTTTTTGAATTACTATTTTAGGGAGTTTTGGAATCGGTCAGGGATTTTTTCTCTCCTTCGTGGCTGTTGGACTTTTGGAAAGGTAAAAATGTAGTTGAAGAAGATGAAAGTGAAGATTTTGACGATGAAAACAGTGGAGAAGAACCTGCAGGAATTAGTCAAGACTTTGGTTCATCATCTAGAGTTATGGAAAGAGCAGGACCGTCTACATCAGAACGAGTATCAGATACGAGACAAGAACTTTTAGGTAATGGTGGACCGGGATTTATGGCTTCTGCTCAAAAACGTTCACGTACATCCCAAAAGTCAGGACTTTCGGCTCTGTTAGCTTTAAGGCCAAGGGAGCCTTTGAACAAGAAAGCGTTAGAAACTAAAACGACAGCGTTTGCTTCAAGCACTGGCGAATATTCAAGGTCAAATGAGTATACAAGTTCTTATATGGAGTCAGTCGAAACCAAAGAGGTTGGTGCAGTAATGTTTTAATTGATCAGTCGACTAGTTTATTTATAAGCTGTACATATTTCACTTTAAGGTGATAATAATGATAATTACTTTTATACATTTAAAGTTCAGTGAATTGAACACCTTGACCTTGCAATTCCACACAGAAAGGTCTACGGATAAAATGCACTCAAGACACCAACAAGAAGATGTTGGTGGACCCTATACAACTACACGTACAAAAGTACACTTCATACTAAGCTATTATGCAACACTTGCACGTGTGCACTTGTCAAAGTAATGCAACAAAAAATATCTCAGGGTGACTCCAAATACTTGCTGATAATGTATTGTTTTTTATTTTGTTTAAAGAAGAAATGTATTATGTTTTGGCTTTTATCAATTGTTTAACAAACAACTGGGTCTATATTACATGGATTATTGTGATTTGTTTATGTGTATGTTAGTTTTTATCTCAGTGCTCAATATCAAATATATCAAATGTACAAGATTTCAGTACTTTTCCAGATTTTGCCAATCTTAAACATTTTGTTTATAAACACTTCAGATTTGGTTTGCGTTTGCCCATCATTTGTTACCTCAGACATCATTTAATAGTTTTGCATCCTTTGAGTTTGTTGCATATGTCTGTGTATCACCATAAATGTGTTTAACATGAGCAGTGTATGTAAAGGGGAAGTCAAATGACATTCATGCTCTTTGATTAGTTGTGACAGCTGTCACCATTCAATATAGATTAATGTCTATACTGTCAATCATAATAGAAGCCAATTGTGTTAAGCTTCACATGTATGACACTTACACTAATGGACTCTAATACAAGTAAATGTATTTTGACAACTGCTGGTTCAATATTATTAAAGAACATCTGAATCCATGAAAGAAATGAATGAAATGCTACATGCACGTATTTCAGTTTTAAATTGATATTTGATATATTTCATGTTCTTGTATTTAGTAAATAGAGGATATTACATGGGCACGCGGAGATATGGATTTTATCTTCGAGTGTTGAAAAGATCTCTCACGAGTGAGCGTAGCGAGATTTTCAACACGAGAAGATAAAATTAGTATCCCCAAGCGAACATGTAATATTCTATTTATCATATAATTTTATATGAAAACAAAATATGTTGTAAAATACCTTTTTCTTACTTGCATTATTTAGAGAAACCTCGAATGTGTTATTTTCACTAGTGAAAATAACATGTTATTTTCACTAGTGAAAATATCAATTTTACGAAATAGAGAAATATAGGTATTTCATAGATAATTATATGATAAAGAAGTTTGTATTATTAGAGTACACATGCATGGAAGGAAACCATTCAATCTTATAATTGTGTGTGATCTGATTGGTCAAATCCAGTGCACTCCAATGCAGTGAAATTGCACTCATTTAGAGGAAAATTGAGGAAAACTATACATACAACAAATTCCAAATTTACTTTATTTGTGTGTGTGTATACTCCCAAGATGTTGAAATGTTCTGATCACATTTTGATATTGTTATATTTGTACATTGAAATTTGGATAAAGTATTGTAATTGTAATATGTTCATTTTGTTAATTTAGGGAGAATCATTAACACATGAGTCAAGAAAAACAATATCAGAATCAGGGCCATCACCAATACTGTCATCATCTCAAAGTAAACCTGGATCATCATTATTTTTTGGTGCAAGAAGAACATCAACTGAATCAAGGCCATCACCACTGCTGTCATCCTCTCAAAGCAAACCTGGACCATCACCAATTTTTGGTACAAGTCTCACACCAGGAGCATCTAGTACACCAGTATCCTCGCAACCCACCCCAGGACCGTCATTGCTTTCGACTGAGAGATCATCATCAAGACATCAACCTACTTCAGTGTTTCGTAGTAAACCTGAATTTTCTCTATCAGCTTTTGGATCTGTGTTGCCAGTAAGTGATAGAGAGAGTTCTGTTTTGCAATGTTAAGGCTTTATATAAAGAATCATCTTGTAATAAATACCAATAAATTGATRCATATCTATGATCTTTTCTTTGCAGTCAAGATCTAATTTACAAACTCAGCGATATTCTTCACCATATTACTCAGGAAAGACTATTTTTGGTGGTGCAAGCTCACAAGCGTCATCCAAAAGAGCCAGGACTTCATCTCCTGGTAGTGCAGAGGTAGTACTTTCTGTATTTTTGATATGTTAATCATAAGGGGCTSTGTTCACTTCCAAGTGAATTCTTGAGTCTTTAGTCAGTTAAACAAATTAGATAGATGTTGAGAAGCAAAGAAAGTTAAATTTTAAAATGATTTCCTTTTTGTGGTTAAGGAATTAGTATTTCACTTTCTTACWTAATGTGAACCATTCTCTTTCATGTACAATAGGCTTCCAAACCTGTCAAAAGACAAATCAGACCAACTCCTATTGCTGGTAAGTTGTATTATCCAGGAATTAAACTCATCGGCTCAGATGAGTGTGGAGATATGTGCCATAAATTGGTCATGCCGGCGCGCCACCGGACATGACCAGGAGGTTAGCCACATATAATGTGTTAGATATAAATGATATATAGACTCTGATCTGCTTGTCAGACCAACCAAAAATTACATTGGACATCATCTTCTTATGTGATAATCGTATTGTGAATTTATTAGTTATAGATTTATTGTGTATTATTTTTCCAGGAACAAGTGGTGGTGGAGTTACCAGTCAAACTGCTAAAAGAATACTGGAAACTTTAGAAAGAATGTCTTCCCCTCTAGAAGTAAGAACATTTGCCAAAATAATGTCTTAACAGTGGTTGTGTTAAAGTATTCTTTATATTGATAACATAATGGGTAACAAACATTAAGTTGTTCGTTTTGTATTTAGGATGCCAAGAAAATCCCACCATCTCCTCCCTTTGCTACTTCGTCTTCTCCACTTTCATTCTCGGTAAGTATAAACAGGATTACTAAAACAAATATCACAAAAACAAACAATAAAATGACTATGTTTTTAGAGTAAAAGGCGAAAAGCTCCTCCACAGCCTTACAACAAACCTATTGGATCACCTAGAAAATTACAGGTTTGTTTGTTTGTTTGTTTTTTTCATTTTTTGCTAACCAACTATATGTCCAAGAACTTGTCAATTACTTGATGATTTTTCGTATCTGGAAAATTTAGATGACTTGAAATATTCCTTTGCAATCTGTTTACCTGCTGTTTTAAAGTGCATATGACACGAATTTTTTTATTTGAAAAATAGAGTTAATAGTTCAAGAATAAAAGCTTGGTTAATTACCACTTGATACAGGGCTTCAAATTTCAGAGAAAATCGGAGTTAAAAATCCATTATGCTAATTTGATGACATCATTTTGTGTACTCTATAAAATTTCAACTGTGTTTTGTAACAAGTGTTCCAAGTTTACCCATGTCAAACTGTGAAAGATTGTTTTTTATTACATAACAAATATCTTCTACAAAACAATAAGGTGACAATAAACAATCGGGCAATTTTGTATTATCAATGAGTTAACAACTTGATGTCATCAAATTAGCATAAAATCCATTTTTCTCTGAAATTAGAAGCCTGCATCCAGTGGCACTTTACAGAACTATTATTTCCTTCATATTGGTTCTATTTTCAAAAAAAATTGTGTCATATGCCCTTTAAGGTCAAATCTTATTAACTCTTATATAGCTTATCAAATTCATTAATAATTCATAAGGTAAACACAATGGAAAATCATTGGCGTGACCACATCTTTATATGAGCAAGAGATTTGTCCTGATTTGCATACGACTTTAACTTCGATTTTCTCTTACAAATGATATTTTATCCTAAAGTTTTTTTCGAAATATGCTTTACCTTATGTTGGAATTTGATAAGCAATATAAAATATTCGCGTCCGACCTTTATGAGCTATAAAACTGCTCGCTTTCAGCTCGCAGTTATAAAGGCCCATTAACCCTTGTCCTGCCGGTAACTGAGCGGGTAACTTTTACTCACTGCTGTTTTTTTTTTGCGAATTACACTTCTCCACTTTTAAAAAAATCACGTAAAATCAGGGTTTTCTTCCTTATCTTCGCTGTCTTCTCCTTCAATTTGTAGAAATCTATCGAACATTTTCTCGTCTAATCAGCGTCAAAACCTTCAAAATCTTCGTTGTCATCAGAGTTAAAATGTACATTGAAATTGAACACGTTGTTAGCGGCCATTTTGAAAAAGTGCAACTTTGCAACACAGTTTGTTTGAATTTGACTTTATTACAAAACTCACCTATATTTATAAAGCGCTGTAAAGCTCTTTCACAAATTCCTTGACATAAAATCATTGCAAAATGTTAAAGACTTAAATAGCAATGCAATCCCAGAAATACAAACCCTCCGACAAGCTTTGGTTTGAAGTTATAAGAAATTCCGAAATTTTCTCATCATTCAAGCATGACTTCTATTATCTGAAAAAAATCAGCAAAATGATTGGTTGATAGCTTAATTGTGTAGCAATACATGTGCTAAAGGTCAAACTAAAATGTGCTTGAATGAGCAAGGAATTTATGTTAATGTATGCACATGTATTAAAAACAAGTAAACTTGTCTTTGGCAGTGGGATACAAGAAACCGGAAACGAGTTAACTCGTCTTTTGCAGGGCAAGGGTTAAGGTCTCCCACTCATATTTTATATATTACATAAAGGGATTATAAAGAGTAAGTTTTTGCTTATATTGGTCATGAGGAAATACAAGAAAGGGCTGGTGACTAGTCACAAACTTGGTGCAGTAATTACAAAGGGAGACTCTAAAAAAGATATAATGTATGGAGATTTGGGGCAGCATCTATAATTAAACATACATTCTGTCATATTTT